GGGGACCCGGGGTTGGGCCCCCCCCTGAGCAGCCGGTGCAGATCACAAGCCATGCCTGTGTTTGCTGGCCCCGCACCATGCTCATGGGACCATGACGGAGAGGTTATAAATAAGCCCCCTCCCCCGAGACTTTCTACTTCCTTCTCTGACTTTCGGTGTGTCAGGGGCTGCACTGGGTGCCAGCAGAGGCAGGCAGCTGGGTTGGGGGCTGAGCGGGCAGCCAGCAGACAGCATCCCTCCGGCATCTGCCAGCAGACTGAAAGGGGCAGGACAGAGCTCAGAACCAGGTTTCCATCTAAGGAGCCCCCTTAAATAGAGCTGCCCAATTCCCTGGGACTCAGAGGCTCACCTGCCTGCCCCACGCAGCGCGGACAGCAGCAGGGCATCCCCAAACGGCTAAGCGACACCTGGCACTGGGGCAGTGATGCTGTCCCCCAGACCCTCCTGGGGCCCCGCTGCAGCGCCCTGCAGCGGGGCAGAGTGGACCAGCAAAGGGGGTGCAGTAAGGACTCACCTGGAAGGGGTAGGGGAACCGTTCGATGATTGAGATCTGCTCCATGTTGTTGTAATCCTCTCCTTTCCTCTGGAAGAGAGAGGCAGAGATGGATGCTGGCACCCCGCTGCTTGGGTGCTGGCATCTCCCCTGGGATCCACAGGCTTTGGCATTCCCCTGCTCCCCCTGCCCTGCATCAAGCTGGACCCCTGGTATGGTACGGGTTGTAGATGCGGAGCACCCCATGCCAAGCAGGGCTGTTCCCCACTCCTACCACCCCAGGGCAGGGTAAGTCTCCCTACTTCCCCAGCAAGGGCACAGGGGGACACAAGTGGGGACCCTGGGACCTTCCTCACCAGGACCTGCCGCTCGGGGGGAGGGTTGTTTTCAGGCACCACCGTCTCCACACAGGTGATCTTCTCAATGTCCACTGAGCCCTTCTTACTGCCCCGGCGCTGCAAGAGATGGGGTTGGTTCAAACGATCGCCAAGGGTGAGACCCAGGGAGACTCAAGCCAACCACTGTCCCCATCCAACCACCCCTTAGGCTGGGTGCTGGCGAGGGACACCTGGTGACCCATGGGCACAGCCCCTGTGGCTCTGGGGCTGCCGACTCACCCCCCGCTCAAAGTCATACTCATAGTAGGACAGCTTTCTCTCTTAACAGGCGCTTCTTGAAGTTGAGGGGAGATGTTTTCTTCTTCTGCTGTGAGCGCTTCAAGAAGATGCTCTCCAGGATGACACTGGCCATGTCGGCCTCACCAGTCTCCTCTGCGCCGTGCTCGCTGGGTTGCTGTGGGCAGGACAACACCAGCGCGGCACTTGATCAGCTGAAAACCTGCCCACCACTGGACCTCACTCAGGTGCACTCTCCTCCCTGCCTGAGGGGCAGCCAGGGGGTGCTGGGACCCCCAACGGGGGAAATCAGCTGCAGAGGTGTGCGGGCAGGTCAGTGTGGGGTACTTGCGATGTGACCTCTTGCTCTCCTGTCCTCTCCGACACCAGGCTGAAGACCAAGCCACCACCCAGCTGACTTCAGCTCCCACCAATTGCTGGAGGGGCTCCTCAGATGTGCAGACAGGCAGGCGGACACAGACAGCTGGAGAAGGAGTGAGCTGGGGAGGCTGCAAGAAGCATAGCCCCGGGGGAGGAGCACAGGGCCTGAGCAGCAACACCCGGGGCAGGCTCCCTCCTCCCCTCCAGCTTCGTGCGTGTGTGTTTGTGTGGGTCGTTTCCTCCTGCTGCACCGCAGGCACTTCGTGGCAGGGATGTGCTGACTTGGCAGTGTGCAGAGGATGGCCACAGGAGGCCAGTCCTTGAAAAATTGTGGGTAGGTCCTGGCCCTGAATAGCCACAGTGCCATGCTGCCGAGGGCACGGAGTAGCCCTAAAGTCATCCTTCCCTTCCCCGTCTGTGGAGCCTGCAGGAGTGCAGGGACAATGCTCAACCCCCTTTCCTCCTCTGTGAGCAGCAGGGGGGCCAGGCTCAAAGGGCTGCCTACAGCCAGCAACCAGGGGGGTTAAATCCTCCCCCAGCCCTCCTCAGTGAAGCTCTCCTCCTGAGCCTCTCCAGGGATGGTCTAGGCAGTAAAGGGCTCAGATGAGAGCCCCGTGTCCCACTGGTGCCCGGCCTTCAGGGGCTGGAAATCCGCCCTGGCCCATCTCTTGAAGCAGCCTGTCCATCTCACCCTGTGCCCCTCCATGCTGCACCTGGGCACTGTGACACCCAGGTGGTTCTAGCACCCCACAGCGCTGGGGGTGTGGGCTTCTTCCCTGCAGGCTGTAAGCAGAACCTGACTCCAGCTTGGACCTAATGAGGAGCTGATGAGCTACATGGAGCCACTGCTGAACTGTGATCCCCTCGAGACCTCCTGCATGTCTCCTGCCCCAACCAGTCCCTGCACTGCTCCCCCTTCACCTCCACCTTGTTCCCTTTTTTCTCCTACAAACACAGCTTTGGAGGGCAACTTGGGAGAAGCTGTTTCCCTCCTCTGCTGCCCTCAGCCCACCTCCTCCAGGGGAGGTTCAGAGGTAGGCCAGAGCAGGAGGGCTCCCATTGCCCACCCCAGCACAGGCACAGGGGCTAAGCAGAGGGGCCCTGGGCTCCAGCCCATCCCGGCTGCAGTGCCGGGTCCCCAGAAGCTTTACCTGGAGTTGCAGTAGCTGGGTCACCACCAGCAGTGCCAGGCAGATGGGACACGTCCTCACTGTGTCCTCTGGTACAGTGCCACCAGAGAGGAAAGGAAGATGAGTATCTCAAGAGGGCTGTTCTGCCCCACCATGGCACAGCTGCCCTGTCCCCAGCACAGCCCCCCTGTCCCCAGCACTGCCACAGGCCCCGCTCTGTCCCTGCCTGTCCTTTGGGGTGGTGGGTGCCCTGCAGGACTCCCCCCCACAGCCAGCCATCACTGCTGTGCTCTGACAGCAGAGGTGGTGAGTGGGTGGAAGCATGTCCTGTGTGTGTTCCCCCCCAGCTAATGTGACTTCCTACCACTGTCACACCTCAGCCAAGCGTGCTCTGACACCACCACCAGGCCCAGCACACACCGCTGGCCCTGTGCCACCAGACGCTGTGTCCCACCATGGTCCCGGGGCCACCACCCTGCAGGCAGGCTCCCTGGCCCCTGCCCGTGTCCTGCTAAGGAGCTGAGCCTGCCTGCCACCGCTGGTTGATGGGGGTTCGGTGAGGGGCTGGCATGCACAGGGCAAATGCGAAGGGCGACAGCGTGTCTGAGAATGACAAACTCCCTAGCCTCTGTGTTTCAGGTGCACCCTGGGGGGTGACAAAAATGAAGGGTGAGAGGGACAGATGAGGGAATCTCCCACATGGGAGAGACTCAGGAACAAACCCAGAGCTGCACCCGAGCAGCACCTACTGCAAAAAGCATGAGCAAAGAGTTGTTAAAGGCACTGTCAGCAACCTGTCCCCCTGCTCTGGAGCACCCTTGGGATCCCTGGCA